TTTACTACTAGTGTCCTTGTATAGAATCCCTTGCAACTGCCTTGGATTAGCTACTAATTCTCTTTCCCCCTCCCCTATTATTTTTTCAGTATATAAGCATTGTAAGAGAAGGAAGGAAGTACTGAGGGTAGCAGCAACTGTAGTGATTCACTGTATTTGCTTAGCAAAAGAAGGGTATTGGTACATAAGGCTACAGTGCTAATCATATACTGGTGCTCTGTACAGGAGCTGATATATATATATATATATGAGAAAAGAGGAAGTGGGATGTAACAGTTATCGTTGCACACTTACTTATTACCGTATTTTTCAGACCATAAGGCACACCTGAGTATAAGACGCACCAAGATTTTGAAGAGATACATTAAAAAAAATATTTTTGCCCTCCCCTGCCCCCAGGAGCACTCTGCAGGCCTCCCAAACCACCTTTTGTGAAAAAGGAGCATGCAGAGAGTTTGAGAGGCCTGCAAAATGCTGCTGGGGGCCGGAGAGGGCAAAAATGTGATACGTGGGGTGTGCAGAGGGTATGTGAGGCCTGTAGAATGCTCCTGGGGGCTGAGGAGAGCAAAAAACGGGCATTTTTTTTGCAAAAAAGGGGGCATACAGGGCGTTTGGGAGGCCTGTAGAGTGGTTCTGGGGGCTGGGAAAGACGAAAAATGTCCTGTTTTTTATGAAAACTGGTCCAATTTTTTTTGCAAAAAAAACAGTGTGTGCAGACATTTTGGAAGGCCTGCAGAGTACTCCTGGGGGCTTGGGAGGGCAAAAGCAGACCCATTTTTGTGAAAACCGGGCCCATTTTTCACTCGTTTTTGCCTTCCCCAGCCCCCAGGACCACTTTGCAGGTTTCCCAAACCCTCCACGCATCCATTTTTGCTAAAAAGTGCATGCACGGTGCAGGGTTTGGGGAGGCCAAAAAATGCTGTATTCAGTGTATAAGACGCACCCAGATTTTCACCCTCTCTTGAGGAAAAAAGGTGCGTCTTATACTCCAAAATACAGTAATTTATCAAATCGCACATACAATATTTTGATTAGATATTATGTATACTCAAAAATTATGGGGAGTTTTGTATAGCTACATATCTCACCTAAAGCAACTCTGGGCAACACATACTGTATTTTCCAGAGTATAAGATGCACCAGAGTATAAGATGCACCAAAGTTTTGAAGAGGCAAATTTAAAAAAAAAAAGTTTTTGCACTCTGCAAACCTCCCAAAAATGGCCGTTTTTCGCGAAAACAGGCCCACTTTTTAAAGGAGGCATAAATAGCTTTTAGGAAGCTTGTAGAGTGCTCCTGGGGGGTGGGATGAGCAAAACAGCCTGTTTTTTGCTCATTTCTGCCCTCCCCAGCCCCCAGGAGCACTCTGAAAGCCACTTAAAAGCTATGCACGGCCATTTTGGTGAAGGGGCGGGGTTTCGGGAGGCAAAAAATGCTGCATTCAGTGTATAAGATGCACCTAGATTTTCAGCCTCTTTTTTGAGGGAAAAAGGTGCATCTTATGTTCCAAAAAATACTGTAATAATCAGATAAGAACCACAGATACATATGAAAAAATAAAGTCTACATTAAGAAATAAAAAAAATACAACAAATAGGTGAAGAAAGATTAGAAATAGTCACCTCAATAATGGAGCCATCTAAACATATCTCTATCTCCCTGGGAGTCCCAAGCCTAATAACATAACCAGGTCTCGAGGGCCTTTTGGAATGTCAAAAGGGATGGAGCTAATTTAATTCTGGTGAGAAAAATGTTCCGCCAGGTGGGTACCATCGCAAAGGAGGCACGTCTCCCGAGAGCCACCAAATGTAGATCCCTAGTTGATGGTTACCTGCAGCGTGCTTTCTTTGCCAGATCTAATATTTGTACAGTACATAGGTTTCAACAACTTCTTAGTGGCCATAGTAACAAGCCCATAAATACGTTATTTCTAAGGCCTCCCTCCCATGAGGCAAGTTGTTGTCTCCAATCTCATGCTGCAGCTTTAAAATAAAGCAGGATCTCAGGAATAAATGCAAGTCTCTCACTATCCCTTTCTGCCTGGCAAAAGGCAGCAAAAAAACAACAACTGAGCTATTGGACCATCTATTGGATGGTTGAAGCTCCAGTTGCTTGTTATGAACCAAAACAAGGGATTAAGCAAGACTATTCCCTTTCCTCTGCTGTTCCAATGTTCTTACTCTCTTCTGTCTTCAATTTTAATTTTGCTCTTAAGTCTTTTTGGGTGTTCTCTTCTTTAATAGTAAAATTTATCTCACCAATTTTGACACACTCTCTCTCCTGCTCTGCTTTCATTTCAGGGGTCTGTCCCAACGTTGTGTAGCTTCAATGGCTGCTTCTCTTGTAGCCGGAAAAAAGAGCTTCTCCTGGATCGATTCAGGGGCTTTGCGATGCCCCTGAGATCAGCAGGACGTGCCCTTCTCTATCACCGTCTCTGCGGGACGGTTTAGCTCCAAAAAGGCCCGTCCAGCTACAGAGATATCGACAGCAATCCTGGAGCCCCAAGATTGCATGTCGTGTCGTAGCGACATCAGCCCCGCCTCTTCAAGTTGAATTAATGTTTATAGTAGAACTACATATAGACCTCAACTTACAACTATCCACTTAATGACTGTCCAAATTTTCAATGGCACTGAAAATGTGACTTATAACCAGTCCTAGCAGTTACAACCAACACAGCATCCCCACAGTCACATGATCAGACTTTGATTGCTTGACATTTAACATGCATTTACAATGGTTGCACCATCCTGAGGTTATATAAGAGCTGAGGTGGCGCAGTGGTTAAATGCAGCACTGCAGGCTACTTCAGCTGACTGCAGTTCTGCAGTTCGGCTGTTCAAATCTCACCGGCTCAGGGTTGACTCAGCCTTCCATCCTTCCGAGGTGGGTAAAATGAGGACCCAGATTGTTGGGGGCGATATGCTGACTCTGTAAACCGCTTAGAGAGGGCTGAAAGCCCTATGAAGCGGTATATAAGTCTAACTGCTATTGCTATTGCTATATAATCACCATTTGTGACCTTCCCAGCTGGCTTCTGGCAAGCAGAGTCAATAAGGAAAGCTAGACTCACTTAAAGACCTCATGTCCCACTTAGAGATAAAGATCATAAAATTAAGTGTGACTCAGTTTTCTTGGTTAGTAATGGAAATACTGATCTCAGTTTTGGATGTAAATCTAGGACTACCTATATATGGTTCTTCACATTCAGTTTAGAGGAGGTTTTGGGTTACCATGTGAATGCAGCCTCTTTCTGTTGCAGATTAAAGCAGTCACATCTATTTCCTGAACTTTATGGCTGCAAAAATAAATTTCTTCAATAACCAGGTAACCCTGGTAAAGAGTGTGAATGTTTTATGGGTGGCAGACAGGTGCTATATTTTTTACTCTAGTACTTACAGAAACATTTCTTCTCAATACAAAGCACTTTATCTTCAGCATTAAATATTTTCTGTCAATTCTATATTGCAGTTTAATATGTTGTCATACAGAGATTTTAGAAGAGTGTAGTACTGTTAAAGAATGTGTATCTAAAACTATGGTTCTTAAATGCAGTGGGCAGTAGCACAATAATTTAATTTCTGGTGTCATCTACCTATGCATTAATTTTAGCAAAATACTGTGACAGTATTGTAGCATATGTCATTTTCTCTATAATGGTGTGACTTTCCTGAGAGATTAATATTTCTTTCAAGGAACTTCAAAAGATATAGTGAAGTCATTACATAAGATTCCAAATAATTGTTCATTGTGAATGTAAAAAACATTTACTCTTTGCATCATTTCATATAAGGTTTTGTGGCATTAACATTCAGCCTAAGCTGTATTCTCTCTGACCATGATTTTCTGTTATGTCCACAAGGAATATTGAATTTAGATTCATGTGTTTTCTCTTTCCATCATTCCCTATTTTGTTGCTTGCATCATAAATTATTACCTAAGTAAACCAGGAAGAAAACTTTTGAGTTTTCAGTCCTTAAAAAGTGCTTCTACAAACATCTAATAACTTTACACTACCGTGGTACCTCGGTACTCATAATTGGCTCCAGGAGGCACCATGAGGAGTGCCAAACAAAATCACTGTACTAAAAACAATGAGTGCCAAACAAATCACTGACTTACCACATGACCCTTTCTTTTGGCCGGAAAGAACTTCCTGTCTGTCTCTTATCCTATATCAGCGACCTTCCTAGCAGGGCTAACTTCTTATCCACCCTCTGTGGCACTTCCCCTTTTTCCTTTTGAAGTGACCTTTCCGGCATGTCTGACTTCTGATTTGTTCTGTGTGTGGCTGTCCCCCTTTTGGCATTGCAGTGCGTCAAATGCTAAACATAGCGGGACAGCATTTCACATTAAAAGCGTCAAATACCAAATTCAACATGCATTGGAGCAGTTGAGTCCCAAGGTACCATTGTATTTGACAGGTGTGAACCTCCGAACTAGCTTTTAAGAAATGTCTCTTAATAAAGATTTATAATGGAAGCAACTGCTTGCCTATCAGATTATTTTTTTCCTTCTGAAAGATCCCGATGAACAAATAAGTTCTTAATACTGACACTCAAAAGTCCTCCTGCTAGGACTCTTGAGTTAGGTCCTTTCTCAAGAGTCAAAATATGTCTGCAGAAGTGGGTTTTGGAGGTAGTCCTATCACCAGAAAGTCATCTTGTCTAAAGAAGAGGTATGGAGAACCACCCCTTTTTGGCTTTTCTCCTTCATACCTTATTTAAATTATAGCATTTTCAGTGGCTGAAAAATTATGTCTGACCCAAGACATCCTTTGTCACACTTATCTGCAGAGAAAAACAATGCATTGTTGGAATGTCTCTCAAGGGGAAGAAAGAACAAATGGAATCCATTTTTTGCTCATAGACATAAACATTAAATTATAGTTTTACATGTATCTTTGACTGTATCATTCATTTTCTGACTTTTAATATTTTTTTCCTTAGCTACTGTTTTTATTATTATAAATCAAGTAACAATCCTATTTTTTCCTCTTAGCCTCAAGGGATAGGTTCTCCTAGTGTCTACCATGCTGTCATTGTTATATTTTTGGAATTTTTTGCTTGGGGACTTCTAACAGCACCTACCTTGGTGGTAAGTGATAACATTTTTTAAAATCCAATATTCAACTTTATATATATAGTTTTCTGATTTAATTAAAAATGGAGTACAGTAGTTCAGATCTACCGTTTCTACCTTTTGAAAACAATTTTTCTTTTCAATTTTAAGATTCAGTTTGATAAATGTCAAGTATAATTTGCTATTTTGGCAGCAAAATACAGTTCAAGAAAGATGAAATTGATTTTCAATATTCCTAGTTGCTATGCTACAATTAGACGTCCAAACTAAAGTTTTTGCAGATTTGCTGTAAACTAATTTGAAAGGATGCTTCATTTACCAATTCCTTTTTGTTTTAAAGCACTGTTTCTTAAACTTTGTTCCTTCAGGACCCTTTTCCATTTTTAAAAATTATGGAGACCCCAAAATGCTTTTCTTTGGATACGTTAGATTTATTTATATTTACTGTATTAAAAGTTGAAATAGATGCTTTTGCTGCCATTACCACTTTTCACATTTATTTTATGGTATTGTAATATTGTATTATTTTTCAACATATGCTAGCCCATAATTTTGATTTTGGGGGAATCTGCCGTTTTGGGGGGGACCCCCAGAGTTCCTAGAACCATACTTTAAGAAACACTGTATTTGGCAACAAATTTTGTTGAAATTATTTATTCAGTTAAATCTAGACATGGTTTAGGAGAGGAGTACAACTGAATGAGTTGTGATTTTTTTTACATAAAACTGTACAGAATAAAAAGAACAATACATGAAGATCTATTCATTTGTTTTTAGAGTTCTTGTGGTGTAGTGCACTCCCTGTCTATAGCAAAACGTTTTATTAAAGCCAGTGTGTAACAGATTAAAGTGGGCTGAAGTATATCCGAAGTGTTATAGATTATTTGTTCTCAAGTAAACATTCTATTCCAAATTAAAAATCCATATAGAAAGCTGGTTTGACTGGTATTGATAATGAGTGAGGGAACAATACTTTCCTGATTGTAGTTGAATTGTTTATAGAAACATTTCAAAAAATCCATTAGAAATTAGTTTTTATTAATTGGGTGAATTGCTGCTCAAGGAATTGCAGAATGTATAATAAATACAACTATATTTTAATACAGTTATTGTAGATAAAATAACAACTCTGCCTGCTGCATGCCTGTCTCACAATTGAATAATGTTTATCACTTTTGAGTAGAGCCCAACTGAATGGCAGTATCTAGCCAGCCTTGGAGCATCTTGGAAAATATTAAGCAAGGTTGATCCTGGTAATGATTGTATGGGAGACCACCAGAAAAATATCAGAACTGTATATTAGCCTGGGAAATCTGAAGAAAATAAATACATTACTGAAGATGGCATGGCAAACCACTTCTGTATTGTTGTTTTTAAAAATATATGGATCTACCCTTTAGATCTTTAGCAGCTAACCTCAGGTCAAAGAGAGTTAACTTGATTTTTTAAATAGCTTTCAAATCAATATAAAAGGATTGTGTAAATCTCAAACATTTATGCATTGAGATGTAAATCTCAGGCAATAAAACGTATAGAAACATGCTAATGTTTTGGTATTTCAGTATCCTAAATACATACAAGAATCCAAAGTGATTTCTAATCCCTCAGAACAAGAGATAAAAAAGACATTTATGCTTACATTTTCTTTTCTTATTCAGCTCTCCCCTGAGGAGGAGTCAGTCCTTCTTTGCACTTATTTCTTGATATCTTAATGACCACACAATCACAACTTTTATAATAAATAATCTGAAGTTTCATGTAATTATGCAAAGTTGATGCATAAGGGAGATTTATTCCCTTAAAACTTGATTTTTATTTGGACAGATTTAACAATGTTCTTGCATCAGTCTCTTCATTCTTGTCATGTGCATAATTATTTTACAGGTGTTGCATGAAACCTTCCCAAAGCATACGTTTTTAATGAATGGCTTAATTCAAGGAGTAAAGGTAAGATCTGATAAGACTACTGAATACCTCATGTTGGTATGGTTAGAATCATACATTTTAATAATGCTTTAAGACAATCAAGTCTCTAAACCTTGCTCATAAAAAAGTAAAAGCATGTTCAAGCAGATCATGTGGTAGGTGATTAGTGCCTAAAAATACCTGTCTTTTCCCATTCCTGGTGTGCTATTCTTCCATACATATCCAGGAACAAGCTTTCTTCAACCACACTTAAGCTTTCCCACGCTAGTAAGAATGTTTTTCATTGTTTATGCTCCTAATATCTGGTGCAAGCCCAAAAAAAGCTTTCTTGTCAGATTTGTCTGCTTGATAATCCTTCTTTCATAATCCTTTTTTGTGGAAAAGTCCCCCCCCCCCAATTTTTTTCTAGGGAAACACCCCCCCCCAAGCACTCACATTCTACTTTCTGCTCCAAAAACATTATGTCTTTGATGCTGTATGGTATATAAAGGAAATAATATGAGAGTTAAAGGCCTGCACATACATTAAATTGAATTAATGTATATGTTCTTACTGCAATAACCTTGCAAAGTAATCACTGTATGGCTCCATTATAAGTTCCATTTAGGATTCCGAAAGAATCTCTCATATAGATTACATATGGTAGCCCTAGAGAGTTTAGCAATATACCACTTTCCTCTTCTGACACCCAATACATTTATTTATTGATTTTTCCCCCCAGCCTTTTTTTTGGCCAACTAATGGCATCTTACATTCCTAATGCTCCTGCTTCCTCTTTTCTCCACAACACCAATCTTATGAGGTGGGTTGGTTTGAAAGTGACTGGCCCAGATCCAGAGGTGGTATTCAGCCAGTTCTGACAGGTTCTGGAGAACCGGTAGTGGAAATTTTGAGAGTGGGGAGGGAATGGAATTTTGCAGTATCCTTCCCCTGCCACACCCACAAAACCATGCCCACAGAAGCAGTAGTAAAAAATGTTGAATCACACCACTGCCCAAATCCATTCAGCCAGCTGTTGTGCTTAAGGAAAACCCAGAGCTCACAGTCTCCTGGTTTCAAGCCATACATCAAACTGGAAATAGGTCTTACTTTCCCCCTTGTTCTGCCTAAATATATTGAAATGTACTACGCAGTAGATAAAAGGGAAGTGCACTATAGAGCTCTGTAAAGCCATTAGCTCATGTGTTGTGTACAACTTGTGCTCTAGACTAAAATAAATTTTCTTTCCTGATCATTTGGTGGTTATTCATGCTTATGATACTGCATATGTACCTTAGTGAAAGAACTGCGTATTAGCCTGCTTTACAGTACTGGGGAAGGCTGTCAACAACACTGGCCTGAAAAGCTGGAAGCAGTTTGGTAGAATTTGTTTTTTAATGGGAAAATCAATGTCTATTACACTCCTCTTGTGCCATTTCTTTGTGTGGGACAAATTTGTGTTTAATTCACAGGGTTTGTTGTCTTTTCTGAGCGCTCCTCTGATTGGAGCGCTGTCTGATGTTTGGGGCCGAAAATCATTCCTGCTGCTAACAGTATTTTTTACCTGTGCTCCGATTCCACTGATGAAGATCAGTCCATGGTTAGTATCTAAAGTTTGCTCTTATATGTTGGTCAAGTAAATCCCGTAGAATGAGCTTCATCATTTGTTTATTTTAATATACAGTAAATCCTTGATATAACATATACCACCAGTCTAGCAGACTTTGGATTTCGTGGCCAAAAATCTTGTTAATATTTTGTCTGTTTTTGCACAAGCAAAATCCCATTCTTCATTTTGTACATACATTAACTACATAAACAAAATTTCATGTGGATTTAGCAGGTATTCTGCTTTAATGGACACCGCTTCTCCCATTAGTATATTAAATTGAGAGATTAGTACATATACTCTGCATTTAACCCTAATCGAAACTGGAATTTCCATCACTAAACAAAGTTGTCATTAAGCAAAACATCACATGGCTGCATCATTTAGCAATGGCAGCTCCAATAGTTCCATTTTTTAAGACCGTTTTGTCATTTAGAATAGGTCCTCATGCTTCTCCTACCCTGTCATGCTCATTTCCACTTATTTCCCCCCTTCCTTTCCCCTCCCTTCTGCTTCCTCTTGATCAAGCCTTCCTCCCTGCAAAATGTGGCCCTGGAGAACTAGTCTGTTGAATTTGTGGTTCCACCACAAAATCGCGGAGGACAAAATCGCGCTCGACGAAAGCGCGCATTTGACGTCATCACAGCGCGACGAAAACATC